AATCTCGAACCGTTCAAGATAGTCTTCGACTTCGCGCGCACTGGCATGTATCGCCAGTTGTTGTGGTTCGTACTCAGACTAGTGATTCCGCGCACTAGTGGTCCGACCCAGAACTAGGACTCGAAACGAAATCAGAAGTCAACTCAGAGGCGGAATGGAATTGTAATAGGCGGAAATTAGAAGTATATAAGGACATCGTGTTCAATGAAACAAAAGGGTTCATAGTTAATGAGCAACCACCACCTACGTTTTTTGCGGATTTAGTTTCTTGCTCCCTTTGACGGGGCTGATAATCGAGACTATCTCTGCAGGTATCCCTATGGCAACGCTCTTAAGCACTGCTTCTTTTGCTATGTTTAGGCAAAATTTACATACCCACTGCAACCCTGGGTCTTTGCAATTCAGCGCATATAGTTCTGGTGTTATCCCAGAGCAGTTTGCATGGGCCCATTTCCCACAGACCTCGCATTCTATGCCTGTTACTAACGTACCCGCTTTCCGCAATGCTCAGTCAAGCATGAAAAGGCGGCTCTAGGCATCTTACCATAGATAGCAAGGTTTAGAGCGAGAGAAAGTGGATAAAAAAATACCTAAATCATGTGCGAAACCTGAAATAATTCAAATTTTGTGTAGAAAAATTCGAAACGGCTAAAACCTTTTCGAAAAAATTAGCGAACACCGGAAACGGTATAACCACACTTATAGAAGTATAATACCGAAGTGAAACCACAATGCAGTTGGTTTCACATAATAAAACCATCAAAAATTCACGGTATAATCAGAGAGCAAGATTTAAGCAACCAGTTCGAACTCGGTTGTATACCCTCATGCATTAGGGTATAAAAAATATGACAACAGCCAGCTTGGGTAGAAATATTCACTTAATTATATATAAAAATATTGCATACTATAGTTAAAGTAACCGTTTTATTAGCTACTTTTCAGGCTTTTAAAAGTAACGGGTATGGAAAAAGTTTTCATCAATGGCTCTAGGTATAACATAACCCATAGGTTATTTTCCCTTTCCCGAAACATTTGTTTACGTTTTTATGATTGAATACTGATTTATATATAAACAGCGTAGTATTTATTGTGATGTATTTGGCATGACTACGAATGACTGAAAACGGGCTTGTTCGCCACTCCTTGTTCTGTTTGAAAATGTGCTCTGTTGGACTGTTTAGACAATTAAAGCAAGCCAAAGATCCCATCGTATTACGTGGACTTAATAAGTATGTTAAGTTTCGTACGAAACTGGCTCTGTCAGAGGCTCGAATTCAGTTCATTGACGAGTGTGTTACTAAATCGGAATTTCCGAAACAGTATTGGACATTGTTGAGGAGAAATCGTGTGAACATAACCAGTGCGACCCTTCGCCGTCTCGATCTCAATGAGCGTGACACGTTGTGTAATCATCTTGTGGATTTAGAGCGGAATTATGTGACTTCCGCGTGTATGTTGGATGATCTTTCACCGATTGAGAGAAAATCTTTCGAGGATTATGTGCAGTCGATCGCGGCTAAGCAAGTTGAACGCATCCAAACAACGCTGCGTCAGCGACTTAGCCATGTCAAGCCCGTGGGTAAGTTTTCTGTCAACCCTGAGCAGTACGTTCACAATCTATCATGTGTAAANACAAAATGTTGTTAGAAGTATTGTCTCTAGGACCAAAGTTTTGTTGTCCTAATGGCAGATCTAAGCAACTTGATGTTGAGGTGGAGTTTGAAAATCTCTATGCACAACTTTCGGATCTCGTTCCCTCGTCAGCCTTGGAGTTGGAAAAACTGAAATCAACCTTAGTCAATGCATGCTATCAACATCGGAGTGTGAAAGTAAAAACAAGTGAACTAGTGACACCAGAGCATCTCAAACGACTCAGAGACCTGCAGAAAAACAGAGAAATCATGATGTCCAAGCCCGACAAAGGGGCGGGGATCGTACTTCTGAACCGCACAGATTATCTACAAAAGATGAAAGCCATACTGAGTGACGGGTCGAAATTCACCAAAACAACAGAAAAGGATAAGACCGCCCAAATAGAGGTTGCCTTATCAAAGATATTGAGATGTTTAAAGCAGAATGGAGTAATCGATGCGACCAATTTTGAACGAATCCGGCCAACTGGGACAACGATTCCCAGACTACGGGTTGCCGAAGGTGCACAAGGAAGGGCTAACCTTGCGACCGATTCTGGTTATGTGCAATTCACCGTACCACGCACTTGCAAAATGGTTGGCGAAATTACTAGAACCCGTAAGAATTGGATTGGCGAAACACAGCGTACGAGACACATTCACTTTTGTGAATAGCATTCATCACTTAAACTTGATGGGTCGGACAATGCTTTCATTGGACGTTAGCTCGCTCTTCACTAATGTTCCAATCAATGAAACCATCGAATACCTGTGTAGTTACGTACAAAGTAACAATGTTGAGATAGGCCTTCCTTTGGAAGACCTGAAACGACTGCTTTATTTTTGCACATACAACGTCCAATTCAAGTTCAACGAGCAGATTTATCAACAAAAGGATAGTGTGGCTATGGGATCACCTCTAGGACCGTTGTTTGCCGATGTGTTCATGGAGAAACTCGAAAATAACCAACTCAAATCTCCCATTCAGGATTGTGTCTTATATACACGATGTGTGGATGATATTCTGTGCGTGATCAATACATCAGGAACAAATGAGCTCTTGAGCAAATTCAATGCTGCTCACCAGAACATAGTATTTACTTTAGAAATGGAAAACGACAACAAATTGGCATTTCTAGACGTCTGTTCGAGTCGTAGATCGGACGGCTCGGTGCAACGATCAGTGCATAGGAAAACGACTTGGAAGGGCCGATATTTTCATTTTCGCAGCTTTGTACCGCTCAAAGTGAAGAGGAATTTGGTGCGCTGTCTAACAGATAGAGCAAGGAAAATTTGTAGTGAAGAAGAGCTCCGGTTCCCACGTACTATCTTCACATACAATGGCTATCCAGAACGATTGGTTAGCAAAATGATTCAGTGCGGTGGAGATATTGTGAAGAAGACTGAGGTCAGAAAGAAGTCGGTAGACATTACCTTGCCGTTCAAGGGGGATACATCAGCAGAAGTAATACAAAGGAGACTATCAGATGCTGTTAGTAATACCTTCCATGCAGCAAAGCTCAATGTTTTGTTCACTTCCCAGCCAATTGTGTGTTTACGACTAAAGGACAAAATGCCGGATTCTGCCGTCTAATTTTGTGTGTACTCATTTA